CCCCCACCCCCGGGCGCCGGGCGGCCGTCCGGTCCCGGAGAAGTTAGTTGTGCCCGAGCGGCGGGCGGGTGCGGCCCTCGCGTTCGTCCGCGCGGGAAGGGCCGGGCGGGAGCGAGTTGAGCGTGTGTGGGAAGAATGTGGCGTTTTCCGAGGAGAAGTGAGGGGCTCCTGTCCGCGCCTCGCTGCTCTCCCCGCCCCTCTGCCGGGGAACCGCCCCGGAGCCGGCGTCCTCCTTCCCCGGCGGCCCGCGGCCGCACCGACGGGGGCTCCCGGTGAGGGGCGCGATGCGGAGCGGCGGGGCAGCGCGGGCCGCCGGGGCCCCTCCTCCCGGGGAGGAAGCCCGGGTCCTCGCGGCGTTCCCGCCTCGAGTGGGCAGGGTCGGGGGGCTCCGGGGCTGGAACCTCCCGCCTGCGTCTGAAACGTGCGGCCGGCTTCCCTAGTTCATTGCGAGCCTGGCACCCCGACTCTCAGGAGTGGAGGGGCCCCCTGAGCCCCCAGACTGGGTCCTCCCCGCCCCTGGCTGGGCAGCAGTCAGATCGGGAGAGCTAGGAAGATACGCCTTGATTTTTGAAATGACTTAAAATACTTCAGTTACAGATCCAGCTGAGTGTAGTTTCCAAGTGGAAAATCTGGCGAAAACCCTAGTTAGTCCTGATAGGCGTGCAGGGATCAGTAGATAAGGTCAGAGAATGCCACATGAGCCTCAACAGGTAGACTTTTGTGCAGGCTTTTATCTCCTGTCCAGTTTCCCAGTGTTCTTGGCACAAAATCCTACTACTCCTCTTGCAGCTTTATGAAAAGTGTTATTTTTTGACCCGAACTGAGCTTATCTTGTTTCTAGGCTGTAAATCCAGCAGCCCGGGCTTTGAGTGGCTGACAGTTAAAAAAGCTCAGCTCTGCTGTTTGTGGGTCCCTGGTAGGAGCCTCTCCTTGGCTCACTCCCTTCTCTCCCCCTCACAGGAGTACTCCCCCAGCTACAAGAGGCGCAGGACAGTGGAGGACTTCAACAAGTTCTGCACCTTCGTCCTGGCCTATGCTGGCTACATTCCGTACCCGAAGGAGGTAATGCCCCACCGATGTGGAGGGTGCCTGGTGGGGCGGGAGGCGCGGCGGGGGGGGGGGGGGAGCAGCGGGCGGGCCGAGGATGACCTCAGGCTGTCGTCTGGCAGGAATCTGGTCCTGGGGAACTGAGGGCAGCTGAGGCTCGGATAGAAAGTACAGACTTGTGTAGACGATGTAACAAACTTTCAGAATTTATTTGCAAATGATATGTTTGGTATTTGTCTGCTCTTAGCAATGGCCAGTGCTTACTGTGGCCAGACGTTGTTCTGGGTCCTCACAGCCATAGGAAATAGCTATTTTCTTCCCAAAGATGAGGCCATCTGAGGCACAGGAAGGGAACTACCATGCCCTGGGGCTGGGGGCCATCATCCCCTGCTCTCTGGTCCTGTGGTTTAGAGCATCACTGGGTCTTCAAGGACTTGTGCCCTACGCCCTATGTGAATGGAGAGATTTGGTTTTTTCCTGAGAAATGGAGTATGGGTCAGAGCTGCTGTGGGGCTCAAACTTCAGAGTTCTTGTTCCTCTCATTGAGGTACAGATAGAAGAATACATTGCTTCTGGAAGCAAGTTCCTGGCACTGTTTTATTGTTTCCCCTTGCCCTATAGGTAGGTGGTGCCTGCTTGCTGCCGGGTAGAATGTTGCTGTTTGTAAAAAACATGCTTGACGGATCCAAAGAACCAAGAGTTTAGTTTTTTATTTTATTTAAAAAAATTTTTTATTTATTTATTTTTTTAAGAGCTAGAATTTAGCTTGCTGCTTTGGGGCGGTAATGACGTTTGACTTACCAATATTTGGGATATTTTTAGGTATTTTTAAATAGGAAATGCTCAACTTACATTCAGTTAATTAAAAAAAATGTGTCTGGCAAGGGCAGGGAAGGGGAGAAACTTCACAGTGAGGGAAAAACGAGAGGCTACGAGAGGATGTCTGCAGCAGGCCTTTCCTGGCTTTTTTGTTTGTTTTGGGCAGCATCTTCTGTAGCCCAGTCTGTTCTTAAACTTGTAGCAGTTCTCCTGCCTCAGCCTTGGGAGTGCTGGGGTGACAGGCGTGCACCACCATGCCCTGCTGGGATATATTTTTTGCATGTGAAGGCTGGAACTGGAACCCAGTGCTTCCTGTATGCCAGGGAAGTATCCTGCTGGGCTACCCCAGCTCCTGTCCTGGGGTACTGACAGCAGCAGCTGGGCCCAGGGTTCCTCTGTGGCTGTGTTGCCTTAAACCGCTGGTCCTCAGTGTGGTTCAGGGCTGTGCTACACTGCATGTCGGTGGAGTCTGGTCCTGGTGGGTTGGGCCAGGGAAGCTCTGCCTGGGCTGGCTTTTGTCACTGGGCCTGTCCGGAGTAACTAGAACCTGTCCCTGTGCCCTGGCCCTTTCAGGAACTTCCTCTGAGGAGCAGCCCCAGTCCTGCCAACAGCACCGCTGGCACCATCGATAGCGACGGCTGGGACGCGGGCTACACCGATATCGCGTCCTCCGTGCCCCTGCCAGTATCTGACCGGTGCTTTAGCCATCTGCAGCCCACTCTCCTGCAGCGTGCGAAGCCCAGCAATTTCCTGCTGGACAGAAAGAAGCTAGATAAGCTGAAGAAGAAGAAGAAGAGGAAGCGCAGGGACAGCGATGCGGCAGCGAAGGAGGGCTACAGAGGGGGCTTGCTGAAGCTGGAGGCTGCAGATCCCTACTCGGAGACCCCCACAAGCCCCGCCCTGCAGGATCTGCCCCAGGCCCCCGGCGACCCCTGCTCGGGCTGGGACTCCGACACTCCCTCGAGTGGCTCTTGTGCTACCACCGTGTCACCCGATCAGGTCAAAGAGATAAAAACTGAAGGCAAACGGACTATCGTCCGGCAGGGCAAGCAGGTGGTGTTCCGGGATGAGGACAGCACCGGCAACGACGAGGACATCATGGTGGACTCAGGTCGGTGGCCTGGCAGGTTGGAGACCGCCGGCTGGGGGTGGGAGAGGATTGTTCAGTGTCTTGTCTTGGGGTCGGAGGCCAGGCCCTGCCTGGGACGGGAAGGGAGGGCAAAGTGCAGGAGGGGTGCCAGGTGCTCAGGAAGGGGCTCGTGGCTGCAAGGGACAGTGGGTTCTAGGCCAGGGCAGAGGGTGTAAGAGCCAAGGTGTTCATAATTGGCAGGGGGTGGGTGGGTGGCACCTGATCATTGCAGTCTGTGGCACACTTGACATTCGGAGTATTGGCGTTGGGGACAGTGGAATGGATTTTCAGACAGGGTTTTGCCAAGTTACCTAGGCTGGGTTCAAACTTGAAATCCTCCTGCTTCACCCTCAGATGTGCAGCAGCTTCCTGGCTTCCCCTCTTCTTAATGTGTTCTTCTCTTTATAGATGACGATTCCTGGGACCTAGTGACCTGCTTCTGCATGAAGCCATTTGCAGGCCGCCCCATGATAGAGTGTAATGAGTGCCACACCTGGATTCACCTGTCCTGTGCGAAGATCCGAAAGTCCAATGTTCCGGAAGTGTTTGTCTGCCAGAAGTGCCGGGACTCCAAGTTTGACATCCGCCGCTCCAACCGCTCCCGCATGGGCTCCCGGAAGCTGTTTCTGGACTGACTGCGGGTGGCGGGAGACGCCGGGCAGGGGGACGAAAGGGGCGGGCTCTGTGGCCCTCCCTCAGTTAGCACAGAACTCCTAGCTCGGTGTGGGCAGATCTCTCATTCAGGTGCCTAAGCAGAGGACAGGCTGTCCCAGGTAGAAACTGTATATAGCCAGCGAGCGGAAAGCCTTCGTCAGCCCAGGCTGCTGCCAGAGTTGTGTTCCTGGCAGCAGCGGCAGTGGACCAAACACCCAAGCGCAGTGGCCTGGTTTAGCCGAAGGTGAGGGTGTGTGGTCCTGAAAGTTTCCCTGTCATTGTTAGCAATTCCCACTGTTTGGAAGAGTGCCAGCTGTTACTCCTGCTTCTGCGGTGCTGGGGAGAGGAGCGGCTTGGTGTCCCCAGCCTGCAGATGAACAGCCATATGTGTGTCTGTTTCCTGCGTGTCAGTCTCACCTAAGTGTCTGTGCAGCCGCCGTCGAAGTCGCCCCTTGCTTTCTTTGTGGTCCACTATCTGCCTGTCTTGGCCACACCTGTGGAGCCCAGGAGCTGCTGTGGGGTTGGGGTGGCGGGTGAGCTGGTGTGAATCTTTAGTTTCCCCTGTTAGTTAAAAGGGACAGTGTGTGGCCACCTCTCTGTGGTTGGTTGGAGGTCAAGGTGGCCTGTGTTCATAACTCAGTTTCCCGTTTTGCACGATGTATAAACCTGTCTTTTTGCACGACACAGCCAAAGCATTGGCCGATCCCTTGCTGGGTGCCCTTTCTCTAGTTGGTGTTCAAGGTCCTAGGGGCCCAGATGAGCGTCTCTTCTCTCACCCAGTCCGGTAGCACACGTAGCATTCCTTAGGAAGTGGGTGGTGGCCTGCAGTAACCAGTGGAACATTCATGAGCTGGCCTGCTGCTCCATGGCCAAGGTTAGGACTGCAGTCCTGCTCTTGGTGGGGATCGGTGGGAATGGGTGTGAGTGGGTGGCTGGAGCTGTCACTTAGGCCTTCAGGGTTGCTCCGGAGGCCCCCAGGCCAGCTGTGGAGGATGTGGACTGCAGGGCAGCCCTGCAGTGCACCCAGGGGCGGTGGTTCTGGAGCAGGGCAGAGAGGGAGGGGTCGGCTTTCTCTGGGTTGGCAGTGCGAGCCAGCGGCTCACAGGTTCTTAAGGCTGCCGCAGAGAGGTGGGTGAGTGTGCCCAGCGGTTTTTCTGGGGTGTGGAAAGGCGGCGTGCTCAGGTTAGCGTTTCCTTATTCATAGCCAGGTGGGGTCTGCGCTCTGTGTGGCTCCTTTGTGCGCAGGCGCCAGCCGTTCTCCCCTCTGCAGCACCAACGGGCTGAGCTGTCATTGGTCTTACCAGAGAGCCCGGTTTTTTGTCCTGGTGTCCTGGACACTTGTCCAGTCTCCTTAGTTTTTAAAAATCTTGTTTAAAGTATGAAAGTGGAGATGGCTTCTGAGACTCAGCTTATGGTGACGGTCCTGAAGGAGAATTCCGCTGTGGAGAAAAGCAGCTGGCTTAGAGACATCCTTGTCCCGGGGCTGTGGCTGGCCTTTGCCTGGGGCAGACAGCAGGGCAGGTCGGGGAGGAGTTTGCCAAAGATCTGCCCGCTACAATACCTTTCCAGTCTGCACCGTGAGAAAAACCAAAGTTGCAAAGTGCGTTTCTTCCTTTTTAGAATTCCACGAGATTTTAAAAGTGTTTAAGAATTCACGCGATTTTTAGAGCGGAACTGCCGACCCTGGTGATTGTTCTGTGCCCTGGAAGGTTTTAAGCTGCCTCTGGAACACGTCCGATACTCATCTCAATCTCTGTCCCTTGAGTTGGTTTTGTTCTTTCACACATCTGTTCCCGGGAGTGTTCGGTGTGCCAGGCACCTCGGTTTCGGGTTGGATTGAGCTGGGCGGAGGCCATCAGCTTCTTTATGCAAATTAGGCATGACCCATGGTCTAGGGGCTGCTGGTTGGCGGCGGAGGGAGGGAGGCCGTCACCCTGAGTTAGCCCCTCCTATTGGCTTCAGCCAGGCTGGACACTCGCCATCGTTTACATGGTTCTGTGTAATTATAAAGTTTATGTGTATAAAGCGAGGTGTTTCTGTGAAACTGTATATTTTGTAAATAAAGATATTGCTACTTTGAGGGGTCTGGTCTGGCTTCAGGTGTGTGTGCCCTGTGCCCCCATACCAGGTTCGCAGGAAGAACTGCAGGCAGAAAGGAGAGCTGGGGTGTGTGTGTGGGGCGGGATGACTGCACCCCAGTGCACCCTGCTCACGAGCTCTGCAGAAGCGAGCTGCAGCATGAGCAGACTGGAAAAGCTCTCGGGGCCGGGGATAGAACTCGGCGGCACAAGCGCCTCGGCGGCAAGCGCAGGGTCCCGAGTTCGATTCTCAGTAACAAGCTCAGTGTCCTGGGCACATGAGGGCTGAGCAGAAGCCCCGGGGAGGGCGCGTCCGCCCGGAAAGCCGCAGCCTCCGGGGCTCGCAAGCGCGGTGCACAGCCCAGGGACACCTTCGGGCAGGGCGTCGCTCCGGTGCCCGCTGGCCGCTGGGCTCCGGCTCGGGATGTGGAAGGCGCTGGCCTCGCACTCCGATCCTCCCCGCGGCTGCCCAGAGTGCTGAGGTCACAGGTGTGCGCAGCGAGGCCCGCGGGACTCCCCAGTGACGTCAGGGGGGCCCTCGCCAACCCCCCGCTCTGAGGAGCGAGTCTTGGGGGGAACCGCAGCCAGGAGACCGCAGCCTTTAGCGAGCTGGGGTGAAGCCTGGAGCCCGCTGACTCGGGACGCGTGTCACCAGGGCAACGGGGGCTGCGGGGGCCGCGGGGGCCGCGGGGCCGAAGCACGGATGCGTTTTCCAGAAATTTCCGTGACAAAGCGAGCTTCCTGAGGGCTGAGGCCATAAGTCGGCCGTGAGGGAAAAGCAGCTTCTGGAGACCCGCAGGCCTACGCACTCGTTGTAGGCTGCAGGGAGGAAAGGCAGCGCCAAAGAATGGCTGCCACGGGCAACCACGAGCCCGCTTAACCCTGTGCGCATGCGCGCGCATGCGCACAAGACCCGCCTGTTCCTCCGCTGTAGGTTCTTGGCCGTGCGTACCCCCGTGTGCCATCTTCCTTGCTTTTCGCAACCTTTGACAGCCCAGCCAACTAATCTAGGACCTGGGGTGTTAGCTATCTCCTACTGTCTTAGTCCATTCAAGCTGTTATTTTTAAAAGTACCATAAACTGAGTGG